TTCTTCTGTAATATATATATATATATATATATATATATATATATATATATATATATATATATATATATTTGCAAAGTTAAATGATTTCTTTATTTATTAAACCATATGCATTCATTGTATACCGCACTACATAAAATGCCTAATAAACAACTAGGAATTCAGTCCAATTTAAATTTCAACAAATACAAATTTATTAACACTGCACAGTAAAACAGCTTGGTTGGTTACTTTATTGAAAAAAAATTGCCCTTTTCAGTGGTTAAGATAATTGCCCAAAGGATGTGGAATCCTCAAGGCCTCATAGAGGTGCTTGCTAATGAGCAAGGTTTCTTCTTTTTCAAATTTTCTGATGACAGTTCAAGAACTAGAGTCTTAGAAGATGGCCCTTGGTTATCCTCTGGTAGAACTATGGTCCTCAAGAAATGGCAACCTAGAATGATTCTTAAGAAGGAAGCACATACTAAAGTTCCAGTTTGGGTAAAGCTTTATAACATTCCACTTGAGTATTGGAATAAAGAAGGTCTTAGCTATATTTCCAGTGCAGTTGGGAAACCACTTTATGCTAATGGGCTAACAGAGACATAACAAAAAATTAGCTTTGCTAGGGTATGTGTAGAGATTGATGCTGCTCAAGTTCCCATTGATTCCGTTGAATTGAAAATGCAAGGTTCCCAACCTGACCAAGTTGGGGAGACTGGAAATTATGGTCCAATATCAATGGAAGCCTAAAACTTGTGTTAATTGCAATGTTTTTGGCCACACTAGTATGAACTGTGCAAGAAAGCAAGTGTGGACAAGAAAAGAGAAACAAGTTGACAAAGGCAAAGAGATAGCCTCCACTGTTGAAGTTGGCAAAGAAAAGGAAAGTGACAAGGTTGATCAAAGAACTGTTGATAATGGAAGCATAAGCAACCAGATGATGGTCTGTGAGACTGCTATCACTGAGCTTCATACCACCACCCCTGCTCCTCTGGTAACTACAAACATCACCACTAGTAACAAATTTTATAATCTTGTTATTGAACTACAAGGTCCTGTGCAGTTAGATTTGGAAAATCTGCTTCTCCTGTAACAAGTGTTCTGGCTACAAAAATTAAGAACATTGATGGTATACCAATTGGGCAACTAAGGAAAAAGCACAAGTCACCAAATAGAGGTAAAAGGGGGATTTCTACACCCTAAGGCCACCATCCACCAAGACATAAATGATCAATTTTGCATGTTGGAATATTAGGGGATTGAACTCTCCCCCTAAACAATTGGAGGTTCGAAAACTTATTTTTGAACAGCAGCTGGATTTGGTTGGTATAATTGAAACCAAAGTCAGGCCTATAAATAAGGGTAGCATTATGAGAGCTGTCTTCAGAGGCTGGGACTTCTTTGATAATTATTCCAGTCATATTCTTGGTAGGATCTGGGTTGGTTGGAACCCAAATATCCTCAGGATTACCAAGATTGAAGAAATGGATCAGGTTGTTCACTGAGGTTCAACATCTTGAAAGTAGGATTGTGTTCCTTGTTTCCTTCATTTATGGGGCCAATGATGATAGAGAAAGGAGGAAACTTTGGAGTAATCTAGAGACTCATGCTAGGAACATATTTCTAGACCATGGGCGGTTTTGGGTGACTTCAATGTGGTAAGAAATGTGCAGGAAATTGAAGGGGGGAGCAACAGAAGAACAAAAGCCATGGATGAATTTGAAGAATGTATTCAAAATTCTGGTGTTGATGACCTTTGCTTCTCAGGTGTTCTTTTCACTTGGTGTAACAGGAGAAACCCTCAAGATTGCACAGTTAAAAAACTTGACAGATTCATGATTAATGAGGAGTGGAATTTGCTATTCACAAGATCTTCAACTGATTTTCTTACCTCTGGGATCTCTGATCACAGCCCTGCCATTGTCAAGTTGGGACAGAGAGTGAGACCAAGGAAATGTCCATTCAAGTTCTTCAATTTTTTGGCTGATAGAAGAGATTTTCTTGATATTGTCAATAATGTGTGGCATATTAATGTGAGGGGAACAGAGCAATTCCAAGTAAACCAAAAGCTTAAACTGTTGAAGTATGATTTCAAGAATTATAACAGAGCTCAGGTTGGTGATGTTACTGCTAGAGCTAATGAAGCAAGAATTGTTCTAGCCGACTGCCAGAGGAAACTTGATGAAAAGCCCTTGGACCATGATCTTAGGACTCAAAGAAGGAGTTGCTTAGGACATTCGTTGAGGCAATAAGAATTTAAGAGGAGTTCTTAAGACAAAAATCCAGAATTCAATGGCTCAAAGCTGGTGATCAAAACACTTCTTTTTTCTTTAAAGTCATCACAAGCAATAGAAATAATTCTAGGATAATTTCTATCAAAAGACAGGATGGTACGATGGCTGAGGGGGATTTGCAAATCAAAGATGAAGCAGTCCATTATTTCCAGAATTTGTTTAGAAGCAGCGATCATCAGTCTACTACTAGGCAAGCTACAATTAGGGACCTTATCCAGCACACTACCTCAGAGGATCAAGCTAGAATGCTTTGCAAGGAGGTTACAGGTGTTGAAATTAAAGAGGTATGTTTTTCTCTCCATGCTAATAAAGCCCATGGTCCAGATGGTTTTAATGGATGTTTCTTTCAGAAGGCTTGCCCTAGGATTTGGGAGGAGGTTATTTCTGTTGTTCAAGAATTGTTTATCACCTGTCAAATGCTCAAGGAAATCAACTCCACAATCATATCACTTATTCCAAAGGTGCCCAATCCCACTACTATGAGTGACTACAGGCCAATTTCTTGTTGCAACACCCTCTATAAGATTATTTCAAAGATCATTGCTAATAGAATTAAGTCATTCCTACCTGGGCTTATTAGTCCTTTTTCAATCTAGTTTTATAGTTGGAAGAAGAATAGGGGATAATATTCTCTTAGTCCAAGAGCTTATGAGGAACTACCATAAGAATGATGGGCCTCCTAAGTGTGCAATAAAAGTGGATCTTATGAGGGCTTATGATATGCTTGAATGGGCTTCTTGATTGATACTTTAGCTGCTCTCAACTTTCCAATGATGATGATCAACTGGATTAAAACATGTATTACATCACCAAAGTTTTCTATCTGTGTTAATGGTGAATTGGCTGGTTACTTTCCTAGTCAAAGAGGTCTTAGGCAGGGGAATCTTATGTCCTTATATCTTTTTGTCATTAGAATGGAAGTTCTGACACAGATCATTATGAGAAATATTCATGCAGCTCAGGAGTTCAAATACCACTAGAGATGCAGCAAACAAATAATTGCTCAATTGAGTTTTGCAGATGACCTTTTCTTGTTATGTCATGGTGATATTAATTCTACTAGAGTGTTGAAGACTTCTTTGGAGACTTTTGAAGTTCTTTCAAGCCTTAAAGCTAATCCACTAAAGACCAATATCTTTCTTTCTGGGGTCTTTGGGGCTCAGCACCTACAAATTGTGGATTGTCTCCGTTTTCCTTTGGGCAACTTACCTATTAGGTACCTAGGTATCCTTGTCATCACTACGAAGCTGAGGGTCAATGATTGTGCTGCTTTGGTGGAATCTGTTGAGGCAAGAATTAGATCATGGGCTTCTAGATTCCTTTCTTTTGCAGGAAGATTACAACTCATCCACTCAATCCTTTCCTATATTCATATCTTCTGGTCTAGTCACTTGATTCTTCCCAAGAGTGTCCTTAACAATGTTGAATAGAAACTAAGGGCCTTTATTTGGATAGGAGCTGAGCTTAGGATAGTTGGAGCTAAAGTATCATGGAAGGAAGTGTGCCTACCAAAACAAGAAGGTGGTCTGGGTGTTAAGGATCTAAAGGCTTGGAACAAGGCATTAATGCTCAAACACCTTTGGCATTTAATTTCAGCAACATTTGGTCTAAATGGGTGAGGGACTATTATCTGAGAGGAAGAAGCATCTGGACTGTCAAGCCCCCACACATTTGTTAATGGAATTGGAGGAAACTTTTGAAGACAAGGGATTTTGCTAGACCTTTCTTGCTTCACATTATTGGCGGTGGGAGAGAAACATCACTATGGTTTGATAATTGGCATCCTGCTGGTCCACTAATGCTTAGATGGACTCCTAGAATTATGTATGATTATGGCTTCAATATGAATGCTAAAGTTTGCCATATTATTCCTGGTAATCAATGGAGATGGTCCAGGGCAAATGCTAGAAACAACAGTGACTTGTTGCAAATTGAGGTATCCATGTCATCCTACTCTCCTAGACCTGATATGGAAGATATTGTTAAATGGTTGCTTACCCCCAATGGCTCCTTCTCTTCTTCTGTACTGGAGGAACTAAGGTATAGACAGCCTTTGGTTCCTTGGCACAAGCTTCTTTGGTTTAGTCAATGTATTCCAAAGATGAACTTCATTCTTTGGCTTGCCTTTAGATGCAGACTTTCAACCAAGGATCGCATTCATAACTATATGCAAAGTGTGGATTTAAATTATGTCTTGTGTAAGGTAGCTCCTGAAACACACTCTCATTTATTCTTTGATTGCTCCTACTCTAAAAGGATCTGGAATTATGTTATGGAGAAATGTCTTGGCAGGATTTTATTATCCAGACAGCACACAATTGGAAGGGAAAGAGCCTTGCCACTGTGATCAAGAAGCTTTGTCTTGCAGCCACGATTTATATGTTATGGAATGAGAGGAATCAAAGGATATTCGGGAACCAGTAGAAGGATCCTATAAATGTTCAGCAAGTTATCATCAACATTGTCAGGAATAGACTAATGTCACTGAAGTTTAAGGAAAACATAGAGAATCGAAGAATTGATCGCTCATGGCAGCTTCCTAGTTCTCTTTTTGTTTATTACGATGACTCCATGCTAATTACATAGAATGTTTTTTGGTTTAAATCTTTGGAATATTGTAAATTTTCAGCATTCTCCCTAGATTTTCCCCTGCATTTTGTTTGTTTTTTGTTCTTGTCCTGCATGTTTTTGGCAAAAGTGTTTTTCTTCCTTGTATATTTTCATTGGTTATCAATATACTGTTTACTTACCCAAAAAAAAAAAAAATTCATACATTCCATCAGTGAAAATTGTCAAAAAATTTGAATATAAAATGGCAAACACTTCACTTGAAAATGTATATCACAGGTTAATAACAATACAAAAGATATTGAGACAGATCTATTGGCTTTGGCGAAGACGAGCAATTCTAATTAAGCCAAGTAAATTACCAAATCGAGTTGAGAGACTGTCATGCTCAATAACACAAAATAATACAACATACAAGCTGCATAACCAATTAAATGCTATGAAATTCTTTAAATATGTGTTTTTACATGAAATGATGAGAAGTCTGTTGTATGGTTTTATAGTACCTGTGAATCACTTGAGATTTCATTTGTTCAAGGTGAACACAAGCTTCCATATCTTGTTGTTCTCTTTGATTTAAAGATGCACAGTCACACTGATGATCTATGGTACAGCTAACATAAACTTTCACCTATATAGAATACACATGACAACATTATTATCTATACTACTAATAAAAGTGATTTAAGGGAAAAATTTTTGATTTTCTTATTTATCTTTCAACAATTCTATAATGTCTCCGTTATCCTTTGTTAAGTGGCTTAAGACAAAAAAAACTTTTAATTTTCTTAGTTTATCCTTTTTTGAGAATTTTTTTATTTTTTTATTAGTTGCATTAATTCAACTAATAAATTTATTTTTGACTTTTGATTATCTTCTTTCCAAACAATATAAATTCGATCTAAATCTGATTTGAAAAATGTGATCCAAATCAAATTCAATTGTCCAACGAATTTTATTTTTCACAGAGCATATATGAATCCGTTAAAATAGATATCTATTCTAATCCGAATAAGTTGATTAGAGATGATTTTAATATTGAACATACTGATTTCTCCTCAATTTTATTAAATAATCACTAAATTACATCATACATTTGTAAATGCGTAGTGCATATTCAAATTTGCTAAAAAATACGTAGTGTATATTCAAATTTACTAAAAAATAAATATTTGAATAGATCGAATATTCTATATATTACTTTCGAATTCTAATGCTTGCCAAAAAAATTTAATTGATAATAGTATCCTTAAAAAGATAAAAAAGACAACAATAACCGATTGCAATAACTTCATATTTGTCGAAGAAATCATTACTCATCCAACTATTAATCACTTATTATAATTAAACACTATAGTTTTTAAATGCAATACAATTTATTTATTATTATTTTTTTGAACCTTGTGCAATTCAATTCATTTAACATAAAATATGAGAAAAATCTTGAAAGAGCCCAATGGAGAAATATTTTTAAGAGTTCACGCTCTATAATAGAGAATTGAGTGGCAATAGAGAGCCTATTGGAGATATTCTTAGATTTTAAATTTAACTTTTTTTTGGTACATTGGAAAGGTAAAAAAACTAAGCAGAGTTCCTACCGAAAGAAATACTAGTAAGATTTTCATTAAGCAGGTTTCCAAGATGGGAGGGGGATGATCCAACACAACAAAACCACATTATTGCTAAACTCCCATATTTGCCAACGGATTTGCACATTAGTTTCCTTCCCTAAGACTGTGAATGATTGGAATATCACTTGTAACCATCGACTGCTTGCATCTGGCTATGATGGCCACGCTTGGGTTGGTCTCTTCTTGGGGGCTATTGAGTAGACTCACTGCCTCAAGTGAGTCTGTCTCCACTACCAATGGCTGATCTTCCTATTCTGTATTAGCTCCATTCCTCTATAAATGACCGAGAGTTCATCTTGAATACTTATAGTATCGTTTAGTCCCCCATAATATCCAAGAATCCATTTGCCTTGGTCATTCCTCAAGACTCCTTCCACTCTTGAGGGGCAAGGGTTTCCATTTGAGCATCCATTAGTATTTAACTTGTTCCAAGCTGTAGGTGGATACAACCAATTAATCATTCTGGCTGATTTGATAAGTTAGGTAAGGTCTGGTCCATTGAAAGCATTGAAGGTATCTCAAGCTAGTATCCAAGCTTCCTTGGTCACCAACTTATGGTTGGTCAGAGTGGTCTCAATGCTCTCCTTATTTTTATCCTTCAAAATGCTCCAGATAATAGATGTGAATAAAATTGGCCAATGAACATCTCTCCATTTTTTCTGTTTCTTATCTTTATAATTCCAGTCAATCCAACCCTGTAGGTTTAAAGATCTATCGATATCCATCTCTTGACAACTTAGAAAATTACTCCAAACTAGC